CTTTGTTCTTTCTTTTTATTTAGAAATTATTAGGAATTCTAGTAATACAAATTTTGGGACACAAAGTATTAACATTTAAAGTGTCTGGGCCTGAAGAGTCTTTAGAGATAATTTAGTCAACACCTGTCATTTTATAAAGGAGGAAACTGAAGTCCTGAGAGACAATCATTTGCAAGTTAATCATTCACTTAAAAAATGCATCTCATCAACTTCTCATTGCTGGCCAGGCCAGTGTGCTAGATACAGGTTATATAAAATTAATAGGAAATAATTCCTGTCTCTGTATTGCTCAGGGCCTAACCTGGGAATACATAATTATTAAAAAAGAGTTATTTATAAAAGAGTAAGTCACTATCCCAATTACCTCATTAAAGTTTTAAGATACCTGATCAGTGAATCTGAAAAAAAACATCTATTTATTAGAAAACACTAGATCAAGACCTGAATCTCCTAGTCCAGTGCTTCTCTTGTAACATGCTGAAAATACCTCAAAGTATTGAGATGAAAATAAGAGAGAAATCAGGGAATTTCTTGGTGAAGGTAACATAAATGACACATAGAAAGTGTCTTGCACCTCAAAGTCTCTATTGAGTAGATCCATTTCTAAAATAACTATGACATACAAAATTGGTCTCCTCTTTAAAAACTAGGATTGTAAATTTTATTACTATAAGACTGAAAACAAACAATTGTTATTGTATATTGTTTGGGATGCTATAACAACGCATCATAAACAGGCGGCTTATAAACAACAGAAATTTACTTCTCACAGTTCTGGAGACTGAGAAGTCCAACACCAAGGTGCCAACAGATTCAGTGTCCGGTGAGGACGCATTTCATGGTTCATAGATAGACAGGCTAGCTGTGTCCTCACATGATAGAAGGGGCAAGGCAGCTCTCTGGGGCACTTTTAAAAAGGAATTAATCCCATCTATGTGGATTCTGCCCTCGTGACCTATTTACCTCCCCAAACCCTCACCACCTCACACCATCATATTGGTCATTAGGTTTCAACATATGAATTCTGGGGAAACACAAACATCCAGATCATAGCAAGTATCTAGGTCATTTTAGGAGACCAATATATGTTTGTTTAATAAAAGTGAATAAATTAATCCAAACATTATATTAACAAGTCTGATTCCTTATAAATCCATGATGCTATCCAGTAGGGTTTCAGGAGGTGCTACCTTCCATTTTTGAATAGTTATTAACTTATACTCATGAATCATCTTAGTTTGAATTATTGATATGAAATCAGAGATGACAGTTCCTGCCATGCTTAACTAGTTTAAAAATCTCCTTACGAGAAGAGTAAACATCTTCGGGACCAGAAAGAAAAGTGGCGATTTCCCTCCACTTAAAAGATTTTAAACTGTTTAATCACTCTTTGGTTTTATTATCCTGTAAATCTATGAATATTTTTAAAATACACAAATAGACCAACATGAAAAAACAGTTACATAGAAGAATGTGGCAAGTGCTGTTGATTATGTACACAATATCCACACTGGGGTTAAAAACCTATGAATATTTTTTTTACTAGCATTTGGCTGAAAAGAACATTTACTACTGGGTTACCTGAAGGAAGATTTAAATCAGAACTCCCCTTTGGCAGCAGATTGTTTTCTTTTTGAAACAGAGTCTAACTCTACTGCCCTGGGTAGAGTGCCGTGGTGTCATCGTAGCTCATTCTGCAATCTCAAACTCCTGGGCTCAAGTGCTACTTCTGCCATGGCCTCTGCAGTAACTGGGACTACAGGCATACGTCACAGTGCCTGGCTGATTATTCTGTTTTTAGTAGAGACGGGGTTCCACTCTTGTTCTTCAAACTTCTGAGCTCAAGTGATTCACATGCCTCAGGCTCCCGGAGTGCTAGGATTACAGGCATGAGCCACTGTGCCATGCCACTGGCAGCAGATTTTTAACACGTGTGTATCTACCTTTAGTTAAACATTGCTTTCATAGCTGGTATATACCACAGAAGACCTTGACTATATACCTGAGGCTTTTTATTTTAAAACTTGTCACTGGGCAAATCTAAATTAGTTTTCATTTGTCAACCCTCTTGTCTATTCTGTTTTCTTTGGTATTCTCTAATAAGTTTACCAGTACTTCTTTTAAATAATTAAAGGTAAGAAAACACATGAACATATCTACTTTCTATACTTTATATGAATTTTTTCTTTTATATATGGAATGTTCTTCAGCCTATAATATAATATTTAAATGAATGAAATGTGCAGATTGTTACAAACAGGGTGTTATCTTTCTAACATAAGAAATCTTGACATGGGTGTTTGCTGAGTCAGCAAGTACAGGGTTACACATCCCTCAGATTTTCTTGGCTTTTAACTCCTTATCACATGTAAACTGTTACAATTTTGGCCATAATTTCCATAATCATGGCTGGAATAATATAGAAGGGATGTCTCCATTTGCATTTGGACCATCTTCTTAGAAAAGAAAGACTTTCACCAGATTCTTGTTTCTATTTTTTAACCTTCCTTTTGGCCATAAGTTTGGCCATTCATCTCTAGCTGTACTGAAGTCTGAGTAAGGCAGTACTCGTCTGGGTTGAATTCTGAGCAAAATTAGGATTCCGTTAGCAAGCAGGAAGCAGGGTGTGGATATTGGGTACATAATCAACAGCACTCGCCACAGTTTTCTACATAACAGTTCGTCTTTTCATCTTGGCCTATTTGTATATTTAATTATGTTTCTTACTTGCCACCTCTTGCTATCTTTTTATGATCCTTCTCAAATGGCACTTCTGTGGAATCTCTTCCAACCAATCAGTCAGAATGGAGTGCTTGCTCAATGTGGTCTGTATTAAATGCCTGCTGCCTGCTCTTGATTGCAAGGGCCCTTTTGGTATGAACAGAATTTTTGCCTTTATGTCTATCAAGAAGCCTGAACAAGAATAGATGCCTAACAAATATCTATCAAACTGTATGTATATGTGCCTATCTATCTTTTAGTATTACCATCTCTAAGGTTATTATTTGATCTTAATTGGATAAGATCTAGTGACTAGTTGGAGTCACATTCTTAACTTTTATGTTTACTAACTATAGCTACCTTCAAGATATTATCAATAATCCCGATAAATTGTGCTGTAGCTAATAAGTGATTATGTGACTGTCTTGTCTATTTTTAAGTATCACATAGTATATCCATTTATAATATTAGCAAAAAGTGATTGTTTAGTGAATACCTTTATGTCAAATGTTGTAAAAACCATAAAAGCCTCAGACAAAAATGCACAGATAAACTTACAAGCAAACAAAATATTAATAACAAAGTACATCAGTGCACTGCAACATAATCTTTTAAAAACTCAATGATGTCCTCTTGCAAATTTAAAGGCACTTGATAATGAACTAAATTGAAACCAGAAGTTAAGTGCATAGTTTGCTTATATACTGTATATGTTTTCCCCCCTGAGGAAATATGACATGAGATATGAGTGGAAGTTCCTAACTAGTGCTTAAAGACAATGTTAAAAAGCTTACAATCCTAATCCATGTTTGATTAGAACAATAGAATTTATTTTAATGGATTTCAATTTGAAACCAATAGTTGTCCCATAAATGATCAACCATAAAATGGTCCTAAAGCAGCCATTCTTACTAGGAACTAGAAAACAGCAAGACTAATGATTGCTATCATTTTAAATTATTGTATTAGTTTCTATTTCCAGTGGATTTCTCTTGTTTTATTTCAAGAAATTTTCAATCAAAAGGTATTCGACTATGGATATAATGTGTTACTTTTTAAAAATGCATTTAGTGATTTTTAAATGAAGACTTGTCCACACAGGTTTTACTTGAATGCAAATAAACTTATATGCACAATGTGAAGTTGATACCAGAAAATCCTGAAATTCAAATACAGTCTATAGGGTCTATTCAATGCACAAGTTTTAAGTCATCAGATCTTAATGTAGCATTGAAATTGAATTTTAGAGATCTAGAAATCATTGATTTTTTCAAAGTATGGATGAAACTTAAAATTTGGATCCTGAATTCCTTCTTCAAAGGAATGTCAAGAGACTTCTTGTTAGAATTTTCACTATGATTTCAGCTCCCAATGTTATTATGAAAATGAATCAGATGAAATAATATAGCATTTTGAATTTTCTATCAGACTAAATGAAAATAATATAGTGAGGCATATCTCTGTAAAAGCAGTAAATAGATGTGCAACACTAAATGGTAAACTGAAATCAATGTTTGATAACCAGACCTTTGGACTTATAAAAAACATATCATGCAGAGATATGGCCAGAAAGAAAAAGATAACATAGATCTATTAAAAGAACTTTCATCTAGTAACGATTCACATGTATATCAGTTTAAATAGAAACTGTACATCTCTATGTATTTCAGGTATCTACAAGGGAATATATTTAAATCTTTATTTAAGACCTTTGCCATAGAAGTTAAGGAACAACACTGTCAAGCCAGAAAAAAATCAAAAGTCATATATCAAGAATCTTAAAATATACAGGAAGTATTTTTTTCCTTTGGTTGCTTATAATTTGTGGGACAAGGTTGTACACACATAGGGCAATTAGAAAACAAATCAGTGTGTAATATACTGCTAACTGCAGTGCAAATAGTATACACATTGCATCATGTTTAAAAAAAGGAATGACTACATGGTGACATGGTTTTGCTTTATTTTCTCCACAAATAGTCCAATGCCAAGTAAAGCTGTGAAAACACAAGCTGGAAATTTCATCATACTTTCGTGCCAAAATAATCTAAATCTTGTGGTTTTTTTTCCCCTTAACATTTGGTGCAAATTCAAACATATATGTAAAAAAAAAAAAAAATTACAGTAGGCCATATTATTTGCTTCTGTAAATTCTAGGACAAAAATGATTTTTATTCATATTGAATTTATATCCTAACATACTGAAATCTGTTTCACATATTTTTGAAATACATTTTCAAACTTATCACAGAACTCTAAAAGAATCATTTTGTTTGTAGCTTGCCGACCAGGTTTCTACAAGGCTTCGGATGGTAATATGAAGTGCGCCAAGTGCCCACCTCACAGTTCTACTCACGAAGATGGTTCAATGCACTGCAGGTGTGAGAATAATTACTTCCGAGCAGACAAAGACCCTCCATCCATGGCTTGTACCCGTGAGTAGTTTTGCTGCAACCCATGCCTCCATGTTTGGTTTGGTTTGGTTTTTCTTCTGGTTACTGTGCTGTTTGTTTTTTTGTTTTGAAAGCATTTGGCCCATTTCCTTCTGTTATCCATGTGCAAATTGAAAGCTTTTTCTGCTTCACTCTCCATGCTTGGCTTACCCCAAGTGCAACATTTATCACGCAAAATGAATTACATTTTAAAGTACTTCCTGCAATACAACCCCAAGAAAGAAAGAACATTTTCTGTGTCTTGTTTTAGACCTTGCATTACATTTGACAGGATAGAAGAGGTTATAGGCAGAGGATTTATGTTTTTACATTTCTATTCCCTCTCACTCTATGTTGGTCATAGGTCACAGGGAAAAAGGACTAAGATTTATAAAACTAATACTAAAGTTTTCATAAGTATTCACAAGGGTATTAAACATAGTGGTAAATTCTTTTGTTGGACTTTGTGAATGTACCCTCACCCTTGAGTCAAAACTCCCCCAGTCATATCTTGGGGAGGACAGTACTCTTGAATCCATGTGTCTATAATCTCATGGATCCTCTAAGGATGAATTAAAAGTAGATAATAAAGACAGGATGGTTATTTACCTCTTTCAGTTCCATTGTAAATTATCTATTTCCCTTGTAGTAGAAAACAGAAGTGAGGCTCATTAATCTCTGTTGAACTACTTTTCAGGGCCTCCATCTGCACCAAGAAATGTTATCTCTAATATAAACGAGACCTCGGTTATCCTGGACTGGAGTTGGCCCCTGGACACAGGAGGCCGGAAAGATGTTACCTTCAACATCATCTGTAAAAAATGTGGGTGGAATGTAAAACAGTGTGAGCCATGCAGCCCAAATGTCCGCTTCCTCCCTCGACAGTTTGGACTCACCAACACCACGGTGACAGTGACAGACCTCCTGGCACACACTAACTACACCTTTGAGATTGATGCCATTAATGGGGTGTCAGAGCTGAGCTCCCCACCAAGACAATTTGCTGCAGTTAGCATCACAACTAATCAGGCTGGTGAGTACATGCTGGATGTGTCTTATTTCTACCAGTAATGATTTGGGCAGAGAGAGTGGGAAAGAGGGTGGAAGAAAAGAAAAAGATCTGAAAGAGTCACAGGATATTTTTTTCTATCATGTTTAGACAGTTATGATACTTGAAATCATTCAATTTAATTCTTAAAGTGAGAATAAACCATATGTGTCAGGTGATTTTTAAACTAGTTTATACTCATTACTTCCGAATTTGGAACCCTTAAATATTTGGGGCTCTGAGATAGTAGTTACAGAGCTCATTGGAACATTTTTATATTTCAAAGAACTTAACAGGCATTGAACCTTAGCTTTGAAAAGATTGAGTAGGATACTTAAAACTATAAATATCATTACCTTAGTTAAAATTAGATTTTTGATATAATTATTCAGTTATTTTATGCTCCTTAGAAGCTCCGTATAACTCTGATAGTTACAAATCTCTCCTTGATTAATAATAAGAAAATAAACCAATATCATTTGCTACATATAGATTGTGTTAAAAATTCAAAATATGAAATTTAGTGAGAAGCATGGTATTACAAAAAGAGGTCTTGGTAGAAAAAATTGGAATCATTCATCTAAAAAATTTCCTGATGTGAATTGTTAGGTGATTTCACCAACCATATTTTCCACTGACAATATTTTCTTAATTAAAACAAAATCTACATTGGGAGGCAGTAAGCAAAGGCCCTTCAACATGAAATGGAAAAATTAAAGAAGCACACAAACAATCTCATCTTTCTTTATCTTACATCCATAACTTTTCTTTTTCTTTTTCTTTTTCTTTTTTTACTGTTAGTAAAACATGTTCTTTCAATCATCCTTTAAATCCTCTATGTGAATTACATATGAATTTTGCTTACAGGGTTTTAATTGTGCATCTCACAAACATAAAGATGGATTGTATTTTACACACAAATGATGCCCCCGTTAGAGATATGACAATCACTTTTCAATATTGATAACTGTGTTGAACATGTAATAAACAGCTTTCTTTTGTAATCAACATAAAACACACAAAGTTAAGCTGATGGATATTTGTTGTGCTTAGTTGTTGCTACAAGATATCATAGTTAGGAATACATTCCAAGCAGTTCAATTCAGAGACATTATTGTATTATTTATATACAAGCAAACATTGGAGCCAAAAAAGGAAGAAAGAAAGAGGCAGGATACCACTCTGAGTGTGCTTTACCTAGAAATAGAGATTCTCCAGTGCTCTCCCAGGTGGGCTTACCTCTGAGTTGAAAGTCTGGATTGAGTGTAAACTCGGCTTCTGATCTGCATTTGGCTTAAATGATGGAAGTCCCTCTGGTTTATAGTGGGAATTACCCTTTGCTCTGAGGATATCAGAATGTGTACTGGATGCTGTAGGCCAAAGGAAAGCGGAGATGACTAAATTCTGCCATCAGCTGAAAGAAATCTTCTAACAGCCAAACAACTAGCTAAAAACACTCCACATATGTTTCTCTCACTTGGCTTGCTCAGGTAGATTAGTTCAACTTCGAAGGATATACAGTAAGTGTCATCTGGGACAGCAAGTATGCACCAGTATAACTCTGCTGGTTGTCAATAATTTCAAATGTTTCTCTACTGCTTAAAAGTAATTCTACCTATTTCTGCAGTCAATATAGAAATGTATCTACACAGATTAATTTATCAAATAACATTGAGTAGCTCCTTAAGCTCCATATCTCAGATATATTTCCATCCCTCCATAATCCAGCACCCAGAGGGATAAATCCTGGCATAAGAGGGGACCCCAGAGCACCCCTCCCTCTTGAGAGGTCCCTGTTCCCACCATGATATTTTGATAGATATTTTGAATATAACCCTTGACAAAGTCTATCCGTGTTCAAATATGTATCTTTCTGATTCCAAATTTCTCTTTTGTTCCCATTTTTTTTCTCATCTAATATGTTGATGAAAATCTTGTACTTTTAAATTTCTCATGGTAATAAATAAACTTGTGGAAAGACATGAACTTTAAAGGATATACACTGAATCATTGCTTTAACCTTGCTTACTGAATCTGTAATTTCTCCCACTTGAAGCTAGATCCCAGACCAACCAGCATATGCTTTTGCTCTGCTTCAGTTAATGAAGTAATGAAACGTTGTAGCTAATGATATTTAAAAATTTGTAACATGTTTATTTAACTGTCTTCTGTGAAAAAAGTAATGAGTACTGTAATGCTATTGCTATATATCTCACGATTATGGTTTCTCATGTTCAGTGAACACAGGAATTTTAAGAAATTATAATGATGTGGCAAATGGCTTTCCCAAGTCCTATATTTCAAGCTGATTTACGATGTTATTTAAAATAGGAGCATCAATCTGTGTTATAATTATCTCTTAAGTCAAACAGAAACGTATAAAAACAAGCAAGAGCTCTTTATTTCTATCTTATCATTCCCCTCTGGCTTTCTGAGAATGCATTTATCAGGAAACTAATAGTTTCAAATATATACAGTGAATGAATCTAGGTAAAGTGGCAATGGAGAGAGAGCCAAGGCATTAAAAAATAAATGAGGTTGATGCTTTGGCCTTCCCAGTTACAAATCACAGCTTAGGACAGAGATTCAGCAGGGATGGCATGAGTTACTCTCCCTAGTTCCACTCCCATTTTTTAAGAAAAATCACAAATTTGTTTACAATATGCACCACCAGGCATTTTGTAAATTTATTTTAGTGTATCCGCATCATTTTGTATGCCTGGGGAGATAGAAGCCTTTGTTTCATCTCCAAATCCCCAGGGTAAGATATATAAGCACGATTAGAAGCAATGCTATTTCTACAGGGAGTGTTTCTTTGTTTTGCTTTATTTTTGTTCTTGTGAAGGTTAATGGACTGGTAGCCTTGAAAAATGAGCTCCCTAACACTGGAAGGATATGACTGTGACAGATATGACGCTGTGGTGTTTAAATTTCTCCTAGTCTCTCTATCTTTGACACAGATATAAAGGGGAGCAGTGAATGTGTCCTTTTTAATTTAGTTGGTGAGATTGAATTTGTTGATTCTTCTCCTGATTACATTGTAAAAGTCTTGCGATGACCACATGATAAGGCACCTTCTAAATTGCAGAGGATTATGTTGTGAATTTGGGTATTAGTTGTTAGCTCTCAATACTTTCACAAAGTATGTCAGTGAGATAAAAAGCATGGTCTCCATATAAAGATTGTATCCATCCCTCTACAAACATGTAGAGAAACTGCAGATTACAAAACAAAAATCTTCGAAGTTATAGCTTGGCTTAAGTTGCTACTTTTTGTTTTCTTCCTTAGATTGAGTAGATTTATTTTTTAGTTCTGGATTGAAACACTCATTCCACCAGTGGAATATCTGTCTCTGTTTATTCTCTACTGCCACTATAGCTACTGCCCCTTTTCCCCATCCTGTGGCATATAATGATCCCAGACTAGAATAAATGGCACTAACAGAGAATTTACGGGGTCTTGGAGTTTTGAGGTCCACCTCTGCCCCCATTTTGCTGCTGAATCAACTGAGATCCAAGAAGCTTTGTCAGCATTTCATCAAGAGATCAAACTTCTAAGTGGATTGATGTTTCCCTCCTTTTTCAGTTTATTCTTTTGGAAGTCTGCATGCACGTGTGTAATTTCCATCATAAAGTTTGATTTATGCACATGGATGAAAATGCTACAGAATAGTACAATAGTACACACCATGCCCATATACCTTTACCCAGATTTCTCCAAAATTAACAGTTTATCACACAGACTGTATCATTCTATCTCCCATCTCTCTCTGTAGATATTACTTATTTCTGAACCACTTGCAGATATTATGCCTGTTTACTCCTAAACACTTCAGTGAGAATTTCCTGAAAACAATAACACTCTTGCATAACCTCAATACATTTGTAAAAATCAGGACATTAACTTTGTTCTGTAGTATGATCTCATCTGCAGATATTAGTCAACCTTTGTCAATTATTCCACTAAAATCCATGTGGTAAAAAAACAAATTGATGTTCTGCTTACACTCAGTTTATATTTGTAATATAATTCCTATATATTTTAATGAATAAATAAATTATTTTCTGTAAATTCAAGACAGATACAAAAATATGAGGGGAAAGAGGACTGACATTTATTGATAGGACTTTCTAGGTACTTGATACTACTCTAGGAATTTCATAGCTACTACTCCATCAAAAGTAATCAGCAAATAATGCTATTTTTAAAAACAAAGAGAGAACAAGACTTAATTTTACTTATATTTCCTATAGAAGTTCCATTAATTTATACAAAGAAGGATAGTATCTCAGAAACTATTTGATACAATAAAAAATACTTCTGTCCTCAGCTTTAGATAGAATGGCCTCTATCATCCATTTAATTCAATAATCAGAAACAATTCCTTCTTTTCATCTTAGACAAGCTGCTTATTTTCTTCTGGTTAAAAATTGCCATCCATCATGTGAAGGTATAGAAATCCAATCAATTTATAATTTTCTTTTTGTATTTATTTTGTATTATTCTGGAACTACAAGCCATAACTTTGTTACTAATATAATTTCAATCATTCAATACATTTTTGGGGCTGTTAAGAACACCTGTGAACTCACTTTCTATAAAATACTTTTAGAACCTTTCTCACCCATGGTTTTGTGGCCTGCTATTTCACAGAACAAAATAACAGCATCCTTTAAGAGAAAAAGAAGTAGTATCTCTAATAAGTCTTAAATAAACAATATATACTTTTTAAAATAGACCCTAAACTATCAGAGCCCTTTGGCTACATAGCATCCACTTTAATTATTTAACATTTGATGAAGCACATATTTCTAAATTTTTTTTATTTTTAGTTCTGAAATATATTTTCTCTAGCTACTTTGTTGTTCTCTTAGGACTTAGAAATAGCATATGAAAGAGTAACACCTCATGTCAAAGGCAACCAGTCATGCTTTAGCATTTCTGAAGAAACAAATGTTTCAAAATAAAGGTGGAAAATGTGCTTA